GCCGTGGCAGGCGCTTCAAAGCGGGGTGTGTCTGCAGCGCGGAGCCTGCCGGCACGCAGCTCCCCGGCACCGTGGGCAGTGGGGCAGCAGGCAGCGCATGGCCCCGCTCCCCTTCCCGAGCTGCCTTCCTCCCCGGCGGCCGCTCGGCACCTTCCCCTGAGCGGGCTGCCGCTATGGGCCGAGAAGAGGCATTTTGTGGCCGGGGACAGGAGCTGTCTTGTCTGCAGCTGGCAGCCGCGCAGGCCCTGGAGCGCCGCCAGCTCCCTCGCGGCAGCGCAGCCCCCGGCGGGGACCCCAGCTGTGCCTGCGCCTGCGACGCGCTGCCTGCAGCTGCCGGGGAGTGACCTGGATTTCAGCCTCCCTCTAAGCCTCTGCTGACGGCAAGGGCCCGCTCCCCTCCTGGGGACGTGTTGTAGGGCCAGGCAGCGCCCGGCTGCCTGCCTGCGCCGGCTCCTGCCTCGCCTCTTTTCGGCACCACTCCGGTGCGGCCGGATGGCCAGCGGCTGACCCTCTTCCGTCTCTCCCCAGGGTGCACCATCTGCCTGGGCCAGGCCACCTTCCTCCGCTTCAACCACCCTGCCGAGGCCAAGTGGATGAAGAGCATGATCCCGGCGGGGGGCAGGAGCCCGGCAGCTCTCTGCGGGCTGCCAGCAAGTAGGTGACCCCACCTCGTCGCAGGCAGGGTGGGGGGGACACCGGGGCACTCCCTGTCCCGCGCCGCCAGCCTTCCCGGCACACGATGCTCTCCCAGCCCTGTCCTGCCCAGGCTGCCGCGCTTGGGAGCAGGGCTCACGCCCAGCTGCGGATGTGCTGGCCGTTGGCTCGGCAGGGCAGCTGCGCTGGTGTTTGTTAATGATTAACATTGCCTTGGAAGAGGGTAATTGCGAGGGCAGTGAGGCACAGCTCCCGCCTCTGCCCAACCTGGCCATGGCAGAGCCATCACCCATCAGCCTGTGCCAGGGATGTGGGGTGCGGCGGGGCCCCCCCGGCTGCCTTGGAACCAGTGTTTACATGCTTGGGTGGCTGTGCGGAGGCTGCGAAGGCCGTTTCCTCGGCTGCAGTCCTCCATCTCGCTGGCTGCTTATCTTGCTGTGTCTGCCTGTCTGTGGGGCCGATGGGACGAGCGCCTGTGCCGAGGTCCGGCACTGCGCCCAGCTACCGGCGATGTCTGAACCCCCGGCGGCAGCAGTCCTTGGGCTGGCAGCCCTTCTCCCTGCCCCGACCGGCACGCCCTGGCACGGGGAGAGAGCTTGGCAGCCTCCTCGTGCCACGTGTGTGCCGGGAAGGCAGCGCGCCCTGCAGCTGGGGGACGGGAGGAGGGACGTCGGGAGGTGTCGTGGCCACAGAGGCATCCTGCGACTGCAGAGCATCCCGTGGCTGCTGCCTGCATTGTCCCGGCATGGTCCCTCTCTGCCCTGCAGGATCGGATGGGATCGCATGGGCAGGGCTGCGGCACATCCCCCTGGGTGCGGAGGCGCTGCCGGCCACTGCGGGGGAGCCACTGGGTGCCAGGGGGTGACGCAGCCTGGGTGGCACGCCGTCCTGGCCAGGCTCCGTGCCTGCCGTGATTAGCTCGTCCCCTGAGTGACAGGGACATCGGTGCTGCGCCGGCAGGACGGCGCAGCCCGGGCAGGGGGCACCCCAGCCGGGGGCGCGGGGAGGCTGCGGGCGACGTGGCAGTGGGTCTGGACACGCCGCGGGTCTGCGATCGGTGGCTTTTGGCTGTCGCATCTCTGTCCCCTCGCTGGGGTGCCGGAGCATGCCAGGGACGAGGGGTGGGCGCCGGCGGCTGGCGGGGGCAGCTGCTCCCTAGGGAGCAGGGCCGGGAGCTGCTGGCAGCGCAGGGATGTCGGGAGCAGGCGGCTGGGCTGCGCTATCGGGTTTCTGTCTCCCTGGTGATGGGGCCAGCAGGACGCCGGCCTCCTCCCTGGCCAGGCTCCCCAGCCGGGAAGCAGTGGCAGCGGCGCGCAGGCAGCTCGGGGTGATGGGGAGGAGAGCTGCGACCCGGCGCTGGCTCTGCGAGGCTGCATGGAGGGGTAATGCGAGGCTGCTTTGGGGGACCCCAGCCTGGGTAGGGGCTGTGGGGGGGTCCCACCACGCTGACGCCTGCTCCCATGTCTCCCCGCAGAGCCCGAGGCCCTGGTGAACGGTGGCCGCCAGCCGGCCGAGCGCGGGTGTCCCAGCCACAGCTCCCTCGTCAGCTCCATTGAGAAGGACCTGCAGGACATCATGGACTCGCTGGTGCTGGAGGAGCCGGCATCGCCCGGCGGCAAGAAGCCGCCCACCCGTGGCCGGTCCCCCCTCTCCCCCGTGGTGAATGGGGGTGGGCGTTGCCTCCTGTCCCCCCCGCCCAGCCCCGGGGCCACCTCGGGGGGCTCCAGCTACGAGAACGCCTCTCCCCCCCTCTCCCCCCTCTCCTCCCCAGCCAACAGCGGTGGGCACACCCACCCAC